CTTTTTTTTTTTTTTTTTTTTTTTTTTTTTTATGGACATAATATTTTTAACTTTGTTTTATTATTATTATTCATTTTACTTACTATCTCTTTTTTTTTTTTTCACTTTTTTATTGAAAGTACAACATTTTTCATTAAGTTTTATGATTAAATGAAAATGTGTTTTTTCAATTTTAAATGCTTATAAATTAAATTAATATTTATATTTTTATTTTAAAATATATTTATTTTTATATTTTTATTTTGTTACTACTTGTAATACTTTTTTTTTTTTTTTTTTTTTTATAATAGCATACAAAAAACAAAGAAAATATTAATAAAAGGAGTTTTTTTAAGGAAAATGTATTTATTTCTTTTTTTTTATTTTGGCTTATAAGAACTTATATATATCAATATATATCTATATCATATTTTTTAATCATTGTGTAGAATTATATTTTTCAATTTAAATGAATTATATTCAGGTTAAATTCATTAATAATGTATAAATAAATTTTATAGATGCACTTATCTTTCAATTTTTAAATACTTTTTTCTGTTAATTTTGTCCTTTTAAATTTGTGTTCATAAATAAAATTATGTTTATATTTCTTTTATTTTTTTTTTATATTTCTCTTTTTTTCACAATTACATTTAATTTTTAACTCGTCTAAAAATATAAATTTGTTTTAAAAAATAAAAAATAGTTACACTAATAGCTATATAATAAGCAATGTTTGAATTATCTCATATTTTTGTTTATATTTTTTAGTTAATCTATTTTGAAAAAGATTATTTGTTTATGTTCAGTTATTATTCTTAAATATAATTGTACAAATAATATCTCTTACAATTTTAAAATGTTCTTGATCATATTTTTTTTTAATATAATCTAACTACTATTGAAGAAATAAATAAAAATTAATATCCTTTTTAGATTTATATTTTAAGGAAATTCTTTATTATATTCTCTTTTCATTTCACATTTTATTATTTTTTACTTTTTTTTCTTTTTTTATTTTAATAAAATAATCTAGGTAATGTTTATATACATATATATATATATATTTTTTTTTTTTTTATTAATTGCTACATTGCATAAAAACAACAACTGTTTTTTTTTTTTTTTTATAATTATTTATAATTCTTTTATTTTATTATTACTATTTATTATATTTTTAAAAATAGAAGGACATTTATTTTTTTTTGATTATAATTTCATCTTACAGTTTTTTATTGGAATATGTGTAATACATTTAGTTATAAATTAAGGTAATATAATTTTTTTTTTGATTTTAGAACGTTGATCTTTTTTTTTTTTTTTGTTGTGAATTAAAAAGAAAGATAATATAAACATAGGGATATAGGATAAAAATGTTAAAATAATAAGAAAACATATAAAGAAATATAAAGAAAAAAAAAAAAAAAAAAAAAAAGAAAGAAATCATGAATAAATATAAAAATCCCTTGAAGGTTTTAGAATGCAATGATTATAGTTATGAAAACATTGATATATTTAAAAATGAATATATAGCAAATATATTATTGAAAGATGGAATAGATTATATAGAAAATGAAAATAATGAAATAATAAAAAATGATAGTTATGTTAATACTTTATTTTTTGATTATCTGAATACAAACAAAAATGATATAAAAGAAAATAATAAATATGAAAATGAATTAAAAAATGAAATAATAAAGATAAAAAAAGAAAAAATTGTCTTCAATAGTAAAAAAAAAAACGGTAAAAATAATTCTCAAAATGATAAAAATTTTTATATTGATAATCATGACTCATTTTATAATGACGAAAAAGTAACAAAATGTAATGTTTTAATTAAATCTAATAAATTTGAAAAAGTAAGTTATTACAGTAAAATAAATGTTAAAAAGGAAATAGACAAAAACCAAATTAAAAGAATTAAAAAAGATTATAGATTTAGAGGTATGCTACTTACAAGAGTGAAAGAATTGATTCCATCTAAATGTCATTATACTGAATTAAATACAAAGAGAAAAAAAATATATTTGTTTAAACCAAGAAATATTAATTATTTTTTTTGTAATTATTTCAAATATGAAAAAACAGAAAAATCATTTAATTTACCACAGAAAAAGTACTTAAAATTTTTTATTAAAAAGAAAAACTTACATAAATGTAGCTTTAAAATTAGAAAATTTTTTTTAAAAAATGAAATTTTAAAAAAAAAAGAAAAAAAACATCTAATTCCTATTAACAAAATTAATAAAGATTTTATAGGATTATATTACAATAAAATAAAATATAATAAGTATGAAAACAGTTCACTTAATAAAGAAAATGATATATTAGTTAATAATAATATAAATAAAAAGTTTGTCTATTCAGAAAATCTTGCAAAACCATTCAACAGTATAAATTGCATGACTTGTGTAGAAAATAAAAATAAAGAAGTTGAAGAAAATGTTACGAAATATAATGTGGAACATTATAAAAATGAAAAAATAAAATCATTAAATAATAATAATAATAATAATAATAATAATAATAATAATAGAGATAATAATAGAAATAAGTTAAATGTCAATTCTAATGATATATGTGATGAATATGAGAATAGAAGTATACTACTGAATAAGAATGAAATTAATAAATTTTTTAATGAAAAAAATAATGAAAAAAAAATATTAAATATTAATTCTGAAAAAACAAATAAAAAAAACAACTCTAGAAAATGTAAAGTTAAAAAAAGTATTTCATTTAATAATGAGTTAAAGAATGATCAAATGAAATTTATAAATAATACGCAGTCTAGTTTTATATTTAGAAGTACTATGAGTAACAGTAACTCAGAAAAAATAATAGATAATGAAGAAAATGAGAATAATTTTAATTATAATGTAACTAATGAGAATAATAACAAGGAATGTTATAAATTTAAGAAAGAAATTTACCTTTCAAAGAGTGTAGAAAATGATAGTATGCGTGGTTCTATGAGTAGTTTTACTAAATCAGGAAAAAAATTATACAAAGATAACAATGAAGTAATGAATGTTAAAAAAGAAAATATTGAAAAAGAGAAAAAAACTAATAAAAAAAGGATTAAAAATATAGAAAAAAATTTAAATAATATAAAAAATATAGATATGGAAAATTCATATATTAAGTATATTTATAAGCCAGAAAGAAATTTTCATGATTTTGAGAATTGTGAAAAAAAAACGAATAAATCAAATTTTTCTAAAAAAGAAGAAAATGTCAGAAATTCTAACTTTATTTTTAATAGATATCAAGACCAATTTCAAAAAATTATTACACCTAAAATTGATTGTGGAAGTAAAAATGTATATGGGTTTGGTGAGACATTGAAATTTATGAAGTATAGAGAGTTATTAAGAAAGTATATGGGAACTTTTTATAACTATAGTTCCTTTAAATGTGCAAGTTATATTATAATTTATGCATTAATACTAAAAATAACTGCACAAATTTCTAAAAATTTAACAGTATCAAATATTACAAATGAACAAAATGATGTAAATGCTAAAAACTCAAACATATTTTTAAATATTCATGACACAGATGGAATTATTCAATCTGTTTGTTATGTTATTTTATTAATTTGTATAATTTTGTTAATAAAATTAGGCATTCCATCCAATTATTTATTAGCTGGTAGATTAACCATTATATTTATGCTTTTATTTGTTATTCAAATACCTATAATGGTTTATGCAAATTTCTTGTATTTAAAAAATGAGGAACTGAATGATAAAACTCATAATAAGATTTATGAAAAGAAAGATTACTTCAACTTGCAGTTGCAGAAAATATTTGATACATTTTATATGGATACTTTTAATTTATTAATATACACTTTTCTAATTAAATTAGTATCTCTATATGCAACATATCATAAATTAATATATCCACATTTATTAAAATTTTATTTAGATAGATTTTTTTTGAATTCTTATTCTATAGTTAAAAAAGAAATGATTCATTTTAGAGTTCCAAATAATATTGATGCATATTATTTAAACAAAATGAATAGTTATTTATTTAATTCATTATATAAAAAGCAAGATCAACCATCAAAAGAAGACTTAGAAAGTAGTACAAGAAGTGCAATAGGATATAACATAGTTATAAAAAAAGAAAGATGTTCTCCTTTTATGAAATTATTTAAGAAAAGAATGTCTAACTCTCTTTTTAGATCAAGAAATAGGAGGAATTTAAATTTTTATATTATTTTTTATATAGGAGAATTAGATAATAAAGGTAGACCACATGGGTTTGGATATTGGAGAGGTATAAATTTAGAAGGAGAAGTTTTAATTGGCTATTGGTTTCATGGGATACCAGTTGGTCCGTTCAAATGTCGAGATTTTAAAACAGGTTCAGGATTTATGTGTATAAAAATAGGATATGGAAAAACAAACTGTGAATTGAATGATTTAGAAATAGGTAATATTAAAAAAAAAAAAAATTTTTTTGGAAATAGTTAAATTTTTTTTTTTTTTTTTTTTTTTTTATTTCTTTCTTCTTATTATATGCATATATATTATAGTTCATATTTTTCATTAATATATATTATTTTTTTTGATAGGTCTTGCTGATACGGAATGTTGTGTTAGTGGAGCTTTTTACAGAACATTTCCAAGAGTAGTCTTTTATAATTTAAATCTAACAAGTGTTAACACAAAAAATAAGAGGAATGGAGATAAACATGGATTAATAGAAAAAAGGGAATGTTGTGAATACTTAATTGTTAATAAAGCTAGTAATGATATTTTAAGATTTGATTATTCACAACTCCTACAAGATTGTGATGAAGATAAGATTAATTTTTATCAAAAGGATGAAAGCAATAATAATGAAGAAAATAAAAAAAATATTTTAAGCGATAATTCAAATTTATATAATGAAGAATTACCCAGATCATTTATAAATGACGAGACATTTTTAAAAGGAGAAATTCTAAATTATGATGATATATATAATATGAGTTATAGTATTAAAAATTTTACGTTAGAAAATGAAATACAAAATGAGTTAAATAAGAATGTTGAAAAAAGAGATGAAGAACAAAAAAAGGATATTAATAAAAATAAAGAAGGTTCTTCAAATAGGATTCATCTTAAGGAAGAATTTGAAAATGTTGAAAACAATAAGAAACATGAAAGACATAGAAAAAAATCAAAAAAAAAGGAAAAAGATAATAAAGGAAAAAATAAAGAAAAAAAAAAAACAAAGGAAACAAAGGAAATTATATCAAGCATTAATGAAGAGTCTAACTTTATTATAAAAAATAACAAATATGAAACATATAAAAATGTAAAAGGAAGAAATAAAAAACATATAAATTCATTTACAATGTCATCAAATGAAAGTTATAGCAATATATCTATGATAAATGAAGACATATGTATAGAAAAAAAAAATAAAAATAAAATAGAAGAAATAAAATATGGATCATTGAATAAAGAAAAAAAATTTAATATAAATACCGAAATTGTTCTTGGTGAAAGGAACTTTGAAATTATTGAAAAGCATAATCAAGAATTAAAAGAAAATAATAAGTTATTAAAAAAAGATAATGAAATAACATTAGAGTCTGTAAAAAATGAAAAGAAAGGAGCAAAAGAAAGGTATAGGATGTTAGCAAGTCGTTTTTATCTAAAAGATAAAAAAAAAAAAATAAAAAAAGAAGACCAAAATAAAAATTTAAGTGAAAGAGTAAGTGATAATAGTATAAATGAAGACGAGCAGTATGAAAAGGACACAAATGAAAAAGAAAAAAATAAAAAAAAAAATAAAAAAAATAAAAATAGCACTGGTAATAAATGTGAGAGGAAATATAGAATTTTAGGAAGTATTAGAGAAAAAAAAAAAAATGGAAAAAATGAAGAAAAAAGAAAAATAAAAAAAAAAATTGGTTATAGTATGACAAATACGATATTAGGAATAAAAAATTATAATACTTTAAAAATAAAAAAAAAAAATAGGAAAAAAAATGGAAACAGAAAAACATTTCTTCCAAAAGCATTATCTGGAACATTGCCTAAATTAAAAATAAAAAAAAAACGAAGACGATTATTATTTTCTGATACAATAACAAATGTATATAAAACAAAATGTATGAATATTATTTTACAAAATTTATGCCCACATATGCCGAATTTTGGTATAATTTATAATACAGATCTTCACATCTCTATTGATGCAGAAAGGGGGTTATATATAACGGGTTATATAAATAAGAAAAATTCTAATTTAGTATATAGCAAGAATGGAAATAATGATTTTGAGGATAACGAAGTGAAAATTAAAATTATTAAAAAAAGTAAAAATAGTTTAAATGATAAAAAGGGAAATGAAAAACGCTTATATTCTTGGATAGATGATATTAAAGAACTAAGTTTGGATGGTTGGGTAAAGTGCGAATTAGCCGGTTGCTTAGAAGCAGTTATTTTTATACATGGTTATAATACTAATCATTTGGAAGCTTTACAAATTTTGGGGCAAATGGCATCATTTGGTAATTTTCCTAATTATATTAAATTATTTTTGTTTAATTGGCCATCAGGAAAAAACTTTTTAGAATTTTTTATTGCAAAAGATAATTCAAAAAATAAAAAAGTACATCATGCTTTTAAGTCTTTTCTAGATACTCTTAGAAATAATGGTATTAATTCTTAAAAAAAAAAAAAATATAGAAAAATAATAATAATAAAGATTATGTTATATATATATATATTATAAAAAAAATTATAATATTTTTTATAACTTTAATATATTTACTTTTTTTTTTTTTTTTTTTTTTTATTTATTTAAATTAACAGGAATAAGGCAAATACATATAATAACACATAGCATGGGCACAAGGATGTTCTTAATGGCTTTCCATGATATCGTAAGTAGTGAATTATTCTCAACTATCGATGAAAAAGAAAGTGCTTCAAAAAATGTAACAAAAATGAAATTAATAACTCTAACTATGATGAATCCTGAATACTATTTAAGTGATTTTGTTAATAAAGAATATGTATTTCTTAGATCATTTTGTACTGTTATATCTATATATTGTGATTCTAACGATAAGGCATTAAAATGGGCTGAAATATTTAGTGGTACTAAATCATTAGGAAAAAATATTTTTGATTTAAATATATGTAAGGATTATCACAATTCGAAGAACTTAAATGCATATGAGAATTTTGTGTTTGATAGTAATAAATTAGAATATTATTCAATACCAGTAGAAAATAGAACTGATGAAACAGAAGAAGTAAGTTTAGATCCCAAATTAATTTCTTCATATATTGAAAATGGTAAATTTCAATATAAGAAAGACATTGAGAAAATGAAGAATAAAGGATTTATGACATCAGTTGTGCAGAAATTAAGAAAAGTTGTCAATTTTTTTTATAAAAGAAAAAGGAGACATAAATTAACTATGAATGATCACAATTCGATAGACAATGATAATAGCTTTTTAAATAATGAAAAAACACAAAATATGATGCATCAACCACCTATGTTTAGAAATACATTATTAGTATTTACAGGAATAGAGCCTACTTACTGCTATCGAGATAACAGAGATTGGTTAGATGTTGATGTAATTGATACAACATGGTTAGGATCAAATGTCCATACTTTAAGACATTCTTACTGGTCTTTAAATAGAGAAATTATTGAAGATATTAGAGAATTAATAGTAACTAGGAAAAGAGCAAGACAAAGAACCTCACGACTAGATAGAAGAGAAGGAAATGTGTGGGTTTATAGAGTAGCACCATCTCATTTAAAGTCAATATTTGATTCGGATTTATAAAAATTAAAAAAAACTAGAATAAAATGAATAATTAATGAAAAGATAAAAATTTTTTAATTAAAACAAAAAAAAAAAAAAAAAAAAAAATTAAACATTTAATTAAAATTTCTAATAAAATACACAAAAAAAATTTCCAAAAAAAAAAAAAAAAAAAAAAAAAAAAAATTAAAAAGAAGATTCGAATAAAGATACAAGTGATTAGAATGAAAAAAAATTAAATATTTAAAATTATACATTATCTACGTATAAGTTTTTTATTAGTTATAATGTTACACTAATAATATAATTTAAAAATTAATATTTTTTTTTTAAGTGTCAATTCACTTACATATTATTTTATAAATAATATTTTAACAATCAATTTTTTCAAAAATTATTAATAACATATATATATATATATATATTTAATTCTTATATTTTTTTATTATAAGATATATATTACAACAAATGATGTTTATGGATAAATTTAAAACTTTGTGCTAATATTTTTATATTTATTTATCTACTTTTTTATTTTATAATTTTTTTTTTATAAGTTTATTATTTTCATTTTTTTCTTTTCTCCTAATTCATTAGTTATTATTATTTTTTTTTTTTTTTTTTTTTTTTTTTTTTTTTTTTTTATTATTATATCAATATTTTATATGAGAAAAAAAAAAAAAAAGAAAGTTTTACTTTTTTATAATAACTCCCATTAGAAATAAATAACATAAAAAAATTTGAATATGCTTTATTAAATTTTTTCTTAATTTTTAAGTTTGTATGATTTTTTCCTCTCTTAATATATAGAAAGTTGATTAAATTATACGAAAACAAAAGTATACTATTATTAAATAAAATAATGTTTATAAAAATGTATAATTATTATTTATATATATTTTTATGTTTTATTTTTTATAATGTCTTTTTGAACTTCTTGGATAGCATTATTTCTATTTTCTAAATGCTTCGAAATATCATATTCTTTCATTTCTGGCTTCATAATTAGATGCACACAACATGAACCCATTGCCATACATAAAAAAGATGTAGATACAATGAATAGATATTTTTTTAATGGTACACCTAAAGGCATCTTTTCTTTTTTTATTAAACTAATTGTAAAATAAACATATAAATTAATATATATACAATTAATGTATTTTTAAATATGTATGTATATAATTAAAATTTTATAATTTATTTTATAAAAATTATTATCAAAAAAGAAAATAATGACAGCAAATAATAAAACATTAATTCTTTAAAAAAAAAAATATATTTTTTTTTTTGAAACAAAGATATCAATTAAATAATTTTATTTTTCATAATTTATATAAATATTTTTCATATATCATGTTCATCATAGATGATAATAATCATTTCTGCTTTAACATATATTTATAAACAATCTTCATTCTACAATATTTTTTTTTATTTTTATTACTTGTAATGGAGTTATTAATATACGAAATACAATCAAAATATTATTATATGTGAATCATACAAAAATATATATTATTTTAAAAAAGAATAATTTTTGTTACACAAAAAAATAAAATGTTAACTATAATATCATTTTATAATTTCCAATTTATTATTTTTAAATAAATAATATATTTTTTTTTTTTTTTTTTTTTATTATAATATATGGTGAAAAATTCAAAATTTTTTATAATCAGGCTTAAAAGATATAAATTAAATTTTTAAAATAACGGCAGTATTTTTTTTTCACAAATTTTATATAGTTTTTGAAAATATTTACATGCACTATATTTTTTTATCAATATGAAAAAAAAAAAAAAAAAAAAAAAATAGAAAAAATGTTTTAAACCTATCAATCTTTAATAATAATTTTCTTCAATAATAAAAATATATATAGAAAAAAATATATCTCCAATAAAAACAAAATTGTTAAAAATAGCTCCAAAAATAACAATATTTTATATGTATATATAAATGTAAAATATATTTTTTATATACATAAGAGAACAAGGATTAATTCAGTTATATATTTAAAAATTAAGTTTAATTATTTTTTTTTTTTCCTGTTTTTGTTTTAAAAAAAATCTTTAATTTTTTTAATTATATAATTATTGAAAAAAAGAAATTGAAAATTTTTTGATAAATTTTTTAAAGTATTTCACAATACTACAAGGGAAAAAATTATATTTTTGAAATTAATTTCACTCTTTTTTTTTTTTTTTTTTTTTTTTTTTTTTTTTTTGAATAGTATATAAAATTATTACTATTTTGATACATATTTTTCTTATATTTTAATAGGAATATTTCTTTTTATTACTATTTTTTTTTTTTTTTATATATATTGCTACTTATTTAAAATATATATCATATATCTTTTTTTTATTATGAATAGCATAATTTTATTAAGTTGGAATATATTTTATTCTATATATTTTTAATTATTATTACTTTATGAAATTGTGTAATTATTTTTAAAATGAATTAAGGTATTTTATAATTTTTATATTTCTTTTATGTCATATTATAATACCATGAGGTTATAAAAGTTTTTCTTTTATAATAATAATATTTTTTTTAATTTTATTTTTAGTATTTCTTTTTTTTTTTTTTTAACTATTATTACTTATTTTATTATTACCGTTTTATTATTATTTTAAATTTTATTTTAGTATCTTTTTTTTTGAATTTTTTTTTTTTAATTTAAAAATATTGTTTGTAATTAATTAGGAGAATTTATACACCAGAATTTTTTTTTTTTTTTTTTTTTATAATGGCAGAAGGTGAATCATCCAGTAAAGTAAAAAAAAAAAGTACCCTAGATGGTAATCCCAAAGTTGATTCATTTCGTAATAGGGATGGTTTATTATTGAAAACATATGCATGGTTAGTTCAAAATCCTATTGGTATTTTAATATTAGTTCATGGTATGAATTCACATATTCAATTTGAGTATTTAAAACCAAATGTGGAAGTAGTGAGTAATAAAGAAGCGAAACTAATAGACGGTGAAAATTTTTATCTTTACCAAGGTAGTTGGATTGAACAGTTTAATAAAAACAATTTTTCAGTCTATGGGTTAGATTTACAAGGTCATGGTCAATCAGAAGCTTGGAGAGGTTTACGATCAAATATAAAAAGATATGATGATTTAGTTTATGATGTACTTCAATTTATTAATAGGGTTCATGATATGTTAAGCTTATCTAATAAAAAAGATAATAGTGCGACTCTTCATGAAAATATCAATTCCCCTAATATCCCACCAATTTATATAATGGGTTTTTCTATGGGTGGAAATATTGTTTTAAGAATTTTAGAGATATTAGGAAAATCAAAAGATAATAGTAAAGTGAAAATAAGTGGTTGTATTTCTTTAGCAGGAATGGTTTCTATTGAACATTTAAAACAAAAAAAATCTTATAAATACTTTTATATACCAATGTCTAAATTAGCTTCTAATTTAATCCCAAATGCACGAATTACCCCATCATTGGAATTTGAAAAATATCCTTTTGTTAATGATGTTATGGCTTTTGATAAACTTAAATGTGATAAACCAATTACATGTAGATTCGGATATGAATTATTGAGAGCTGTAGATACATTACATGAAGATATGGAACATATAGATGAAAATATTCCTTTATTGTTTATTCATTCAAAAGAAGACAGTGCATGTCATTATGAGGGAGTTGTAGAATTTTGTAATAAATTGAAAAATTCAAAGAAAGAATTGTTCACAGTAGAAAATATGGACCATATGTTAACAATGGAACCAGGAAATGAAGCAATTCTACAAAAAATTATAGAATGGCTTACTCAAATTTCAAAAGAATTGGGAAGTTCTTAAAAAAAAAAAAAAAAAGATATCTATTTTTTAAAAAAAAAAATTCAAACTTATAACAACATCCGCAATTACTTAAATATTATTTATATGAAATTTTATAAAATTCTTTTTTTTTTTTTTTTTTTTTTTTTTTTTTAAGTTATAACTTATGCTTATATTTTATATAGCATACCAAAAATAAATTTAATTTTTTTATATAATTTTTTATTTTATAATTTATTTATTTATTTTATTATTTTTTTTTTTTTTTTTCCTTTTTTCTAATTTTTATCTTGTTTTAATTTTTAAGGGTAAAAAAAGAAATGAAAAACTGAAGTAATTAATGTGAACTTATTAATTAACACAAAACATAAAAATGTTTTAATAATGTTTTTTTTATTTACCATTATTTTTGAAGATAGTAAAAAAAAAAATAGAAATAAAATAAATAAATCATATTGTTAGAAAAATTCCTTCTTATAAATATTTATCTTAACATTTAAAAAAAAAAAAAATTCTAAGAGAAACATCTTATTTATTTATTTTTCCTTTTCATTAACAAATAAAAAAGAAAATTTTTTTTTTTTTTTTTTCTTATAGAACAAAATGAAAAACAGAATACAATTTTGTGTATATATAAAATAATCTAGTAAAAGTAATCTTCATTTTAACATCTAAATATTTTAAATAATTTTATATATAATTGTTCTTATTTTGAATTGTTTACTTATAAAAATATATTTAATTTATGGATAAAATTTACATATATATTTTTACTTACTTTTTTTTTTTTTTTTTTTTTTATGTACTCTCTATTTAGTTAATTTCCAATAATATTTTATATTTGCTCTTTTTTTTTATATTCAATTTAGTAGAATATTTCCTTTCTTTTTTTTTTATTCACGTTATTATCCTCATTGAATAGATAGATTTATAATTAATAAGAGTAGGTTATTTTGTTTTCTTTTCTTTTTTTTTTTTTTTTTTTTTATTTTTAATTAATATATAATTCTATTAATAGTGGATATATTGAAGGTGATGATAAAATAAACCTACATAATAAAACAACATAAAATTAAAGTAAAAAAATTTTTTAAATATTGAAAATAATTAAAATATTTATATGTACGTAATAAAACATATGTAAAAGAAAAATAAAAATAAAAAAGGTGATTAAAATATGTTTTAAAACAATAGAATTTTAAGATAAAATACAAATACTTAATAAGATTTGGAAAAAAAAAAAAAAAAGAAATATTTTTATTAAATAATAAAGAAATAAAATCTCGTAAAGTACTAAAATGTTTATTTAGAAGGCTAATTTGTAATATATATACTTAAAAAAATAGGAAATCACTAAATTATTTTTTTAAAATACTAAATGTATTTTATAATTTTGATTTCCTATTTCACTTTCTATATATAAAAATATTAAATAATAGCCAAACTGTTTTTATTTTATTTTATTTTATATTTTTTATAATTAAGCAAAATTTGATGTAGACTATAAATTATACAAGAATATTTTGTAAACCTACCTGAACATTCACTAATTTTTTTTTTTTTTTTTTTTTTTTTTTTTTCGTTTATAAATATGATTTGATATTAAAAAAAAGGATGATTATGAATTCTAATGATAATAAAAGAAAAAAGGATTTAGATAATAAAAATAATGATGATAAAAAGAATTGTTATGAAAAACAACAAAATAAAAAAAATAGTGTGGAAGAACAGAGTGATACTAAAAAATTTATTTCAATGAAAAATGAAAATAAAAAAAATTACATAAATATTATGAACAAAAATAGTATTAACGAAAAAAAGACATTAAAAATGATAGATAAAAAGAAAGATAAAATAAAAAAAATGGATGAAAAAAAATATAAATCAATATATCAGGTAAGAAATAATTCGATCATAAATTTTTTTAACAGTGAATCTGTACCTTGGATATCTTCCTTTTTTAATTTAAAAGAAGAAGATTTGTTGATTTTTGGTAGAGAATTAAAAAAAAAAAATATTTTTAAAAGATGTTTTCAAAAAATACATAAAAATAGAAGAAGGAGATGTATGTCGTTTAATCCATATAGGGTTCCCTTAGCTTGTAAAAAAGTAACACTAGAAGAAATGTTAATATCGGAACCAAAAATAAAAAAAAAAAAAAAAAAAAAAAAAAAAAAGAAAAAAAAAAAATGTTCCCTTTGGATATTTTTATAAAAAATTTATTATGAGAAGTAAAAAAAAGAATTGGTTAGAAACTCATTTATATCATTCGAAGAGATTTCATATGATGAGTATATATGGATATAAATTAGCTATAAAAAATTGTAGTAAAATAAGTAGAAGAATTTTCAGATATAGCAAACGAAAATCATTAATACATGATATGTCTTATATTGAAGTAATTCAATTAAGTGGGGATGAAAATACTATAATAAATGCATTGAAAAAATGCACAAATGTTGAACAGGCCAATATGCTTAGGAAAAAATATTTATTAGGAATATTATTAGGAAAAATTTTTATTTACAACTATAAGAATGATGATATCATAGAAGAAGAAGAAGAAGAAAAAAAAAAAGAAGAAAAAGAAGAAGAAGAAATAGAAAAAGAAAAAAAAAAAAAAAATAATTTAAACAATAACTCTAATTCAAATGAAAATCACAGTGATAATTTTTTTAACTCAAAGAATCCTCTAATATGCCCTGCATATTTTTTATGGAGGTCTAAATTAAAGTCAAATATTCATTTAAAAAAAGAAAAAAGAAAAAATAACAATATTAATAGTGATATAAATAAAGACAATAAAGTTAAAATTATTAATAACAATGATAGTTTTTCTGAAAAAAAAGAAGAAGAATTAGAAGATAAACTAAGAGATATATGGTTATTTGTTCATCCATTGTGTTTAAAAGAAGTTATGAAAATTTTTCTGAAATTAAATTTAATGATCACTGTAAAACATATAAAAAATATTTGCATGTATGAATTGATTGGACCTAGAAGTTTTGAGTTATTAACAAATATTTTAAAAGTAAAAAATAAATACCCAAAACAAATAAAACATGATATATATCATTATAACTATGAAAATGTTACTTTACCATATGATTTCGTTATTCCTTTATATGCTATTTTACCTAAATCTATTGGACCGTTTATGCTAAATTATAAGATTAATGAAAATGAAATACAGAAAGTTGATAGAAAAGATTCACATATTTTTAATTTATTGAATAAAGAAAACAAATTTATTAACACTATAAAAAATGATAAAAGAAATGTAGATAATATAATAGAAAATGCATTTGATTATTTAAAAGAAAAAAATGGGATGAGAGTTTTAAAAGAAAAGGAATTCAGCCCATATGATAATAACATCCTTATGAATGAAAAAGTGAAACAAAAAGTAATTAAAAATGTTAAAGTTAGCAAATATGAACATTTAAGAAGTAATAAAAAAAAGAAAGTAAAAACAGTTATTCTGAAAATGTTAAAAAATAATAAAAATATTGAGAGTTATGATATACTTAAGGAAAAAAGAAAATCCATATGTGAATTGTTAGGAAATAATCATAATTTTAGTTCCTTTCATTTTACTAATATTCTAAATAATGACAATAATAATTACAATATTACATCAATTTCTAGGAGTGATATGAACGATAATAATAACTTATTAAATATTAGTACAAATAATAAAAAAGCAATTGTATTTGATGATATAAGTAATAAAAGTAAAGAAAAAAAAAATATAACTGAAATTTCCGATAATTTAAAATTTTCTTTCAAAGATAAAAAAGAATCAAGTATTACATATAAAAATAATGAATGTGATAAATATATGAAAAAAAAAATAGACAAAAAACTAAATGTAACATATGGGAAAGATTCAATACAAAAGTATATAAATGAATGTTTAAATAAAAATGATACAAAAGATGAAAAAGGTGTAATAATAAAAAAAAAAGAAACAAGTGATATTTCCATAGAATTAAATAAAATCAAGGAAAATATTAAGCAAAATTCAAAAAAATATATTAAAATACCTATATTAATAGTAAATCAAACTAATAACAATAATCATAGGTATTTTATTATATGCCCTTCAAAAAAAAAAAGTTCTATTTTATTTCACTTGTTAATACGAAATGGTTCTATAGCAATAGGTTTGAAAGAAAGAGACAAAATTTTGAAATGTTATGACTTTATTTGTTATCCTCAAGACTTTCCGGATTCATATGGTGGAATTCAATATAGTAAATTAAGAGAAGAGTTATCAAAAAAAAAGTATTTTAAAAAACCGTTAAGTAAAAGAATAAATTATTATTGTTTAGGAATAAACAATCCTTTTAACTATTCATGGTTTTGCATTCACCCGTATAAAAATAATATAAAAATTATAAGAGTTACTGATTCTTATAATCAATTTTTAATTCAAACATTTATACAACGTTTTTTATCTATATCTTTAAAAAAAATTTATCACATTAACACTCTTGAGGAATTTGAAAAATTTGTAGAACATTTTAAGTCAAAATTTAATGTTTTCTCAAGTTATTTTATTACTGTTTATGTATGTTCATACAAAAGAAGTATCCCAAAGAGATTATCTCATGTGTGCACATTAACACTTAAGCAATTAATCAAATTTTTTATAAGTAAATTTATTTAAAAAAGAGAAGAAACAAATTGAAATATATTTTATATGATTTTTTGAATTATATGTGAAATAAGAATATTATTCACTTAATAGAATATTTAACTATGCACATAATTATAAAGTGATATTTCATTCAAATATTTGTTTTAATATTACATAATTTTTTTTTAATTTTTTTTCTTTTTTTTTATAGAGCATATGGACACAAAAAAAATGTTGGAATGGATAAAACATAAGAGAATTATTAGCAAAAACAATAATAATGATAAACAAAATATTGAAAAATTAAAAGAATCTATAATTCACAAGTACAAAAATAAGATTATAAAAAAAAATAAATATGAAAACAAAGAAAAATTATTAACAGGAAGTTCAATAAATACTCAAGAAATTTCAAAAGATAAACAAAATGTGGATGAAATTATTTTGCCATCAAAAAAAATAATAGGATATGTTTCAAGTGGAGGTCATGTATTATCAAAAGGATATGGATATGGGATAGCACATATATCTTTTTATTTTTTTTTGCAAAATTTATTAAATCATATGTTTATTTTGAAATTATGTAAATTTAAATAAAAATTTTGAAAAAAACAAAAATTAAAAAAAAAAAAAAATCTTTAATTTTATTAAGTATATATAAATGTGTGTGTATTTTTTTTTTTTTTTTTTTTTTTTTTTTTTTTATAGTAATGTCAGGTGAAATAAAAATAAATGAAAAAGGAAGAGAATTTCCTTTTATAGGTTTGATCAGAAATGTAAATTCTGCTTATTATCATTATGGTATATATATATATATATATATATATATATATATTTTAATAAAAAAAAAAAATATTGTTTATATTTTTAATTGTTTAATCTTATTTGATTTTTTATCTTTTTTTTTTTTTTTTAATTTAATATATATTTATTTTTTTTTTTTAGTTTGGCTTAGTTTAGTAGCAGAAGATAAATATTTACCATTTTAACTACATATATATTTAACTATAAATTTGATTATTTTCATATTTAAGAAAATTCTTCTTTGATGGTCTCATTTATTTAGTGCTTTTAATAAATACACTTTTTTTTTTTTTTTTTTTTTTAAAACAAAGTTTCTTTTTAAATTCAAATTATTAGTATAATTTTTTGTTATAAATTTTAGTTTTCATATATTTTTCTTTTTTTTAAATTGTGAAATTTTATTTTACTTTTTAAATGAATTAAATTAAATTTATAATATGCTTTAACTTTTAATATTTGAAATATATAATAAGCATACATAAAATAATGATTGACATATTTCCAAACTAAAAAAAAAATAATTTCGAATAATGATATATATATATATATATTAATTTATTTTTTTTATTCATTAATGGTAATTATTATTTTTTGAGATGATATTTAAAAAAAAAAAAAAAAAAAATGTCCATTATATGAAAAATATATTTTTATATATTTATTTCATTTTAATAGGATGATAAGAAAACTTCAGAGTTCATATTCTCCATATAAATATTTATATATTCATTAACTATTTCAAAATTAATATCTTCCAATGGTATAATACCTCTTGTTTCAATTATTTTTAAGTTATTTGATACAATTCCTTTTATTCCTATATATTTGGAATCAGTTTTAAAATTTCTATCTTTAATAATACATTCAACGCAATTTCCTATATAAAAAGGAATATTATATACATTTTAATATAAAAAAAAAAAAGAAAATATATTTATGTATAGTTTTTGTCATAATTTTTATTTTACCATTGACTGATTTCAAGTTAATTATATTATCTTGTAAACTAATAATTTCACCAATAAAAAATATCTCTTCATTTATCAATTCAGACAAATATTTTTCTGATGTGAGTTTTCCTACTTTATTATATGAACAAATTTCACTATCATTTAATTCATTTTTTTCAATAACATTATTATTTTCATCAAAATCGTCCATATTATATTTTTATATTTTTAACTTTTTTTTTCTATATATTTTTATAATTTTTTTTTTTTTTATTATCTTATTTTAATTGTAAGATGAAATTCAATAATTTCACTAAATTTTTTGCTTATAAGAAAAAAAAAAAAAATTTTTATTTCCTTATTTTTATGCGAATACCTATTTTTAGTGTTTTCTAACATACAATATTTTTCTATACTTTTTTATTTTTAGTATTTAATTTGGATTTATTTTTAAGTAATCAGTATTATTTTTTTTATAAAATATATATTAAATTTTATTTTTTTTTATGAGATGCATCTAAAATAATTTTAGGTTAATTTTTTTTTTTTTTTTTTGTTATGTATTTTAAAATCTAATAAATTAATAAAATGACAATAAAAAATGTTGATAGCAAAAATATATATAAAAATATGTATACAAAAATTATAAAAAAAGTTAGAACAAAGCTTTGTTTTATCATGTATTAATTTTAATGTTTGAAAAAATTTAAGGTGTTAAAAATATTTTATTATAATCAAATTTTAAGACATTTTCTTTTATTATTTTTTTTTCATTTTAATTTAAAAAAATTTAATCAAAAATATGTATAGTATATTTATGTATTTTCCTCTATTTTATTATTTCTCCATATAATTATGTACATGTATATTTTACCTATTTCTCTAGTTTTTTAAAATATTGATAAAATAAACGGTTAATTATTATTTAAAGGTTATTTAATTTTTTTTTTTTATTCAAAAAGTTATTTAGAGAAAAAAAAAAAAAAAAAAAAAAAAAAAAAAAAAAAAAAAAAAAAAAAATATATATATATATATATATATAAAATAATACTATCTAAAATCTTCAATTCAAAATAAAAATAAAAGAAAATTTAAATTTTTTTTAAGAAAAATATATACATATATATCTTAAGTTTTAAAGTATTATAGAGTTTTATTTAATTGTTTTTTCTTTTTTCACAATTTAATATTATAAAATTATTTTTTTTTTTTTCTTTATGATAAAAACAGATATATATAATTTTGTTAAGTATCCTAATCTTATTTACGTTTTCCTTTTTTTTTTATTTAGTTTTTGAATAGATACAATTATTTTTTTTATCTTTTTTTTAAATAGATGTAGCACAAGGATAACATTTCCCTTTTTTTTTTTTTTTTTTTTTTTTTTTTTTTTTTTATAACTTTTTGAATAAAAAAAANGAATAGATACAATTATTTTTTTTATCTTTTTTTTAAATAGATGTAGCACAAGGATAACATTTCCCTTTTTTTTTTTTTTTTTTTTTTTTTTTTTTTTTTTTTTTTTTTTTTTTAAAATGCATATATTTCAATGGATTACGAAGAAATTGTATGTGTGCATTTGAACTTAAAATTTTTAATTTTTAAAAATATAGAGAAGGAAGATAATTGCTTATGTGATAATTTTATTGTAAACTTAGCAAATATAAATGACATTGAAGTAGATAATAGTTCTAAAGAATATTTCATAAAAAAATTTCATGGTATTCTAAAAAAAATAAAAAGAAATGAATATGAATGTATTTTAAGTGGTACATTAACAGAAATAGCTAATTTTTTATTTCAGCATATTGAATTATTCATTGAGATAAAAAAAAATAAATATGATACAGAAGGTAATAGTGATACTAAAGAAAAAGTTAATGAAATAGATTTTTATGACAAAAACAAAATAAAAAAGAATAAAATTCATTTATTGAAAAGCGTTGATACTTATGATGATTTAAACTTTGAAAATAATAGTATTTATTTTAAGTGTCCATTTAATGATTTAATAAATGATTTTGAATTTTTTGAAAATAAAAAATATGAAAATATTAGCAATTTTTATATAGGAAATGATTTAATTTTATCTATTTGTTTAAAATTAGAAGAGTATTTAATTGAAAAAAAAGATTTAGAAAAAGTAAAATTGTGCTCTTATGTAAATTTAGAAAAATATGAAAGTAAATATAAGCATATATTAAATATATTTAGTCTAGATAATTTATTTTATTTATATATTAACTTTAACGATTATAGTAAAGAATTTTTTTATGATAATGAAGTAGAAATAACAGTTGGAGATATGATGCAAAATTTATCAAACAGGGTTTTAGAAAATGGAGAAAATAATGGTTTACATAATTCTATAAATAAATTTATAGAAAGAAAAAAAATTGATGATTTTAATGTAGGTTGTCATTTTTCATTAATTCTAATTGATGATACAAAAGAATTATACGATTATTTTTGCATTAACGATATATTTATAAGTTTGAACAAAATAAAGTTAAATATAGATAAAAGTGTGTTTTCTAATATTAATGATAAAAATGAATTGTGGACTTTTTATAAAAATTTTAAAAAAATAACATACAATTTAAGCACTTTAAATAATTCTTCTCATAAGTTAAAATTTAGTGTTAGTATTATTTCTATTTTATTGAATTATAATTCTAGTAATGAGTTAAATTCTTTTGATCTCAATAATAACCCATTTAATCAAAATTATAAATTTATGAATTCATATAATACTTTATATAAAAATATTTCAGAAAATTCAACTTTTAATTTAGGAAAAAATAAGGAATTATCTAAAATGAATTTCATCTTGTGTAATTTGTTTTTATCAGTAAATCGTTGTCATATATTAGAATTGAGTAATATTTATGCAGAGAAAAGAAAAAAAAATAAAAATAATTTTTTTATAAAAATTGAATCTAGTATGTTTCAACAAACTTTTGTATCACCGTTATACTTATTTCAAGAAGATACACAAGTAAATTATAAAAAAAAAAAAAAAAAAAAAAAAAAGAAAAAAATGAAAAAATGAAAAAATTATATATATGCTATTTTGTTAAAAATATTATAAATTTCATTTAATTTTTTTTTTTTTTTTATTATGAATAGATTGAATTAAACAATTGTTATGTAAACCATGATTTTAATATAAAAGAAGAAGACTTATATGAATATTTTGAAAACAAAACTATTTATTTTGATTTATGTTTAAAGGAAAATGATAGTGATATAAATATAGGAAAAGGAAATTTTTCAATGAAAAGTATTGTTAATGAATTAAGAGATAAGCTAGAGGAAAAAAATATTAAAAATTACTATAAATTTAATTATAATATATCACTATATTTAAATGTATTTAAAGAAAAATACTTAACATCTGAATTAAGTGTAGAACTTTTTTTTAGTATGAAAGAAAAAAAATTAGAAGAAAATAAAGATAATATTTTATCAGTAGAATCAAAGTGCCTTAATTATCAGATTCCTAATAATATTTATGAATTTAAAATTTGGAGAGAAAAGGAGGAAGACAATATTAAAAAAATATTAAAAAGAAAAGAAGAAAGTTTAGTTAAAAAATTTACGAAAAATTATGAACTAATGGAAAAAGAAAGGAAAAACGAACTAGAAATAAAAAAAAATGAACTTAAAGAAATTATGATTAAAATGAAAGAAGAACAAATAAATATTATAAACAATAATAATGCATTAAAATTAAAGGATAAAGAATTAAATGAAGAAATTTATTTATTAGAAAAAAAATTAAAAAAAATTAAATATGCTTATGAAAAATCTCTATATGAGTTTAAAGAAAATTTAAGAAAAAATAATTTAAATGAAAGCATGTTAAAAGAAAATGATGAATTAAAAACTAATTATACAAAATTAATAACAGAGAATAAAATATTAAAAAAGGAAAATGAAGAAATGAAATCTTCATTAAAACAATATAATAATAAAGACAATGTAATTATAAGCAATAAATATTTTGAAAAATTAAAAGAAGAATTAAAACTATTAAAGGAGTATAAAAATAAAATGAAGGAAGAAAATATAAATTCATATAACGATAAATTGCAGAATTATGTAAAAATTATTTACAAAAATAGAAAAAAAATATTAAAGTTGATAACTAACTTTACAATAAAATTAGAAAATATTTACGATTTAACGAATGATGAAATATTAGAGGAAAAATTTCAGTCTATTTTAGAAGATTTAAACTCAATAAAGTTCATAGTTAGTGAAGAGATGAAAGAAGAAAAAAAATTTAAAAATATGGATATGCTGGAATTAAAAAGTAATAATATCAATAATAATAATAACAAAAATAATTCAACTTATTTTAATAGAAATATAGAAAATAATATAAAAGAAAAAGATCAGAAACAATTTCTTTTTCAAAAAAAAACTCCTAAAAAAGAAAAAGAAAAAAAGGGATGCACGAATCAAAGTTTTACGAAAAACGTAAACAAAAATGAAAACAAAAATAATTTTAATTTTAACAATCAAGCAATAGAAGGTAGTAATAAAAAAAAAAATACGAATAATCAAATTGTTGAAAATTTAAGAAGTGAAATAAAGAGATTAATAGAATCAGGAATATACAATGAAGATGATCAAATAATCATAAATATGAAAAAAAAATTGGTTAGTATCTTAAACTGTGACAAATAAAATAACCATAAATAATATAACATTTTTTATATATATATCATACAAAAAAAGTAAATGTTTATAAAAAGATGATTATAGTACTATTTAAATTATTAGAGAATTTTTATTATGAATATATTTTATGTTTTAAATTCTAATGTTTCAAAAAAAAAAAAAAAAAAAAAATAAATAAATAAATGAAAAATATGTTTATAAAGTTATACAAATGATATTTTTAATTTTTTTTATACATATAAGATATATAAATATATATATGTATTCCTATTATTTATACCTTATATATTTTTAAAATAAGAAAATTCCATAATAAGAAATACATTAATTTTCAAAAAAAAAAAAAAAATACATAATTACAGAAATATTTACATATAAATGAAATATTTTTGTTTAAAAATTTTTTGATTTAATTTTTTTTTTTTTTTTTTTATCTTTTTAAGTTTTTATTTATATAAAAAAAAATTATTACAATATTATTTTTTTTTTTTTTTAAATATAGTAATTTGTTATTTCACAAAATTTTTTTTTTTTTTTTTTTTTTTTTTTAAAAA